AGTGACAACTACAGGCCTAGTTCCGTCTAGCATGCACTATGCCATACTAAACCTTTATGTTGACTCATGCTCTTCTAAGGAGGGAATTGTAAATCAGTGGCTCTCCCTTGAAACGACATGTTTCAGCCTGTCTTGCCAGCCAATACTGACAATTTACATTGCCTACTAAAACAGCTAGCCAACCATTTGCTTTTCTGAGTCCTGGTGAAAACGTTAATACAAAATGAAACATCTATACAATGCATTTAGTTTCAAGGGCCTTACAATTGCAACCCAACAACACATCATCATCAAAGGCCTATATTCCAGAGCTCAGGCTTTACACCAGTACACTAGATCAGTTGATCTCTTTTCCCATAGAGACCATGTGGTAAAGCAATACACATATCCAGTGGTTGCAGGCATAATAATCTGCAGTGTCCAGGCACAGATCAGTGTCCTGGACTCCAGACTAGGCTTCAGGATCCTAGTCAGAGCCTCATAGTTTTAAAAAGGAATTTAACTCTAGACCAGTTTTCTTGCTTCTTTTGATGGGCAACTAAAACTGATCTTGAGGGTTTGAAGGATCATCTTTCCAGGATTGGCATACAAAATCACCTCAATGGACTCTTCACCTTTAATATTTTTCCTTTTGATATGTAGACAAGTAGACATAAAATTCATCTATGAGACCTACAAGCCACCACATCAGTGTCATCAAGCAACACTGTAAATATACATTCTACATGAAATTTTAAAACCATTTCAACCCATCTGGATGTATATATTAACATACTCTTTAATGAAGTTGATTGATTAGCTGGGCAAGTGAATCATGGCTGTTGATTGCCAGTAATATAGATCAGGTATCCTCAGCACAGCCTTCCATGCATAAAAAGCTACATGTGATAGTGTAATGTGAGAGGAAGAATGGGTTTGTGAGCTTTAAACTGTGTGGGGCATGTTTCTGGCAATATTTACATACTTGTTTTCAAGTGATCTAGTTATAAAAGGAACTATGTGGAGAGGCAGGGGCGGGGACAAATTAATAGTTTATGTTTTACCTTCAGAGCCTAAAACTCTGCACCACTGTTTTCTTCAATACTCTTAGGGAACCAGAGAGGATATAAGTAAAGTGGATGGGGGGGGGGGGGACGACTAGAGAGAGAAAGAAACAGATGGGATGAGAGGGAGAGGAGAGAGAGAAAGGCAACAGAAAGGGAAGTTGAAAAAATAGACAGATACAAAAAACAAGGCCTAAAAAGGGGAGAGAGAAAAACAGAAAGAGATGGAGGTAAAAAAAAATAATGACAAAAAAGAAAACATAATACAGGAGATACATAGATAGGAAATGGAGACTATTATTATTATTGGTGTTATTATTAACAATAATAATAATAATACTTTTTTTTAAATATGGATAGGATACAATCTGTATGTAGAGTGAACATTAAAAAGAGACAAGGGTGTAAAAAGGACTAACTATAGACCAGAAGAGAGGAAATGCTACAAAGTAACAAAAGAGTAAGAGAAAGAGGGAAGCAATCAGGGGAAAAACAGAAATGGATAGAAGTAAAAAAATAACACAAAATTAAAAAAAGGAAAGATAATACATGAGATAAAGAGATAGCAACTAAGAGATAAGAAAGGGGTAATAATATTAACAACAACATTAATAATATAACAGTAATTTGAAAAAATGGAGATGATACAATCTGTATGCAGAGGGAACAGTGGCAAGGGTGTAAGAGGGAATAACTGGAGACCAAAAGAGAAGAAATGCTACAAAAGTAACAGAGAAGGACAAAGAGAAAGAGAGGAGCAAGGAGGGGAAAGGAAGAGAGTGGTGGAGAGAAAGAGAGAGTGAAAGGGAGATGGAGAGAAAGAGAGATAGAAAAAAAAAGAGAGAGAGGGAAAGAGATAGAGTGATATAAGAGAGAACTCAATATAAGAGAAGAGAAGGAGAATGGAGAGGTAGCACAAGCAACATAACAGATAATCCAAGGAATAATGGAGGAATATTAGCACAGAAGAGAAATATAAAAAATAGTAAGAGGAAGGGTGAAAGAATGATGAAAGGGGGTTCTTAACTAATGAAGTATTTTTATAATAGTCTGTGTTCAATTAAGATACTGAATTCTAATAAGTAGAGTAAACAGTATCCAGTACGTATAGTTGGCAAGCTCATATTTAGCAAGGTACACGTTCCACGTTCTTGTAAGCATGATACAAGTGTATAAACACAGACAATGTAACAATTACTTCTTTAGCAGCCTAATGCTTAAAAGAAAAGTGGAGAGGAAAAGAAGAGAATGGACGGTGGGAAAGACAGAGAGGTTTGTAAAGAAACAGAGATATTAAAAAAAGAGCAGAGGAGACATATTTGACATCTAACCAAATTTCTGCATATTGTGCTACCAAAAACATGTGAGAACCATGGACCCAGTATAGAATATAATGAAATCTACTTGAACATCTGGGATAAAATATTCCTTGTTATAAATGGTGATTCTGCATACATTATAAAAGAGCTCCTGGCTGCAAAGCCCCATTGTATGAGGAGAATTCTCCACCTTTCATCCTGCCACATTAATAATACCCAGTGAACCCGTGTCCCATTTTGTGCCATTCAGCTAAAAGAAAACCAATCACACAGCCAGAGCAATAAAACTCTCCCCTAGAGCTATCTGCTATCGCTGTCCTTTCTGGTGTATCCAATTTCTAAGCACAAAACAAATAAAACATCTTTAATTTCAACTGTAATCGACAAACAATTTTAGAATTACTGTGAGGACATTTTAAGAAGTTCTGCTTGCATTTCAGATGCAGCACAAGGCCACTAGTCATCTAAAGAGATACAAGTATTGCTTCAAGGATGGCTCATTACATTTGTGGAAAGCACTGATAAAACAAAGTGTATGTCATTTTTCCTGAAATGTATAAGTCCATTTCTATATATATATATATATATATATATATATATATATATATATATATATATATATATATATTATTATACTGCAGCATCCAGATGTACAGAACCAGGAGTGGCTCATTTTACAGGGAATTCAGTACTAAAGGTCAAGGGTTTGAGGTCAGCTTGCATCTCTGCCTCTCTTACAAAAAAAGAGACAGAATCCGTGTCCTCTGCATGAACTCTGGTTGCCTTAGCAAATGGCAGACAATGTGACAGGGCGAATAACAAACAAAAAAAAAGCTAAAGAAAATGCCTGAGAATTAATAAATATAAATAAATATATATATATATATATATATATATATATATATATATATGTTATGCATACTTTTTTTTTTACTCTTTCAGTAAAAATGCATCATGATATATCCAAATGTAATCTCAAATTGCATATGAACAAAATGCACATAAATAAATAAATACATACATACCTTATGCAAAAAGACACAGTAGATGGCCCAGTTCTTTTTCACCCAGCCTCAGTGTTGTGAAGAAACATGTGTGAATGTCTGAAACGGGGACCCTGCAGGAATAGTTCCATTTTCCGAATTATTATCATATCCTGGGTTTTACTTTTCCACATCAAATCCTTCAGCATGTCTGGCAAGATACAAAGGCGTCATCATCAGTTTCTGGTTGTTGATTTGGCACTGCAATACTGTATTTTAATGTCTAAAATTAAACATACTCCACAATTAAACCATGCAATAAATGTATATGATAGTAAGTGTAAACAGTAACAGTAATGTAGTTCTTACCATGAAAGTGAAAGGAATTGGAGAAACATAAAGCACAGAAGGCATGAAAGCAAATTGCGAGGCTTTCCAAAAACCAACATGCAAACATTCCTTGTATTACCTTATTATAATTCAGGCCCTGTAACCAGTTATTGGTTAAAAAAAAAATATTTATATATATATATATATATATATATATATATCACATACCTACGAACACACTCACTCATTCACACAAACATGGCTGTATATAGATACAGAAATTGCAGAAATACATCATTTTTATGACCTTTTTTTATCATGGATATATTCTATTGTTGAACCAAAATCCAGGAAGGATCATAGTTTGGTGGCAATAAACCTTACTATATCATCCCTTTGCCACTATTACACATCTAGATCTGCCTTCAGACTTGTATTTATGTTCATAGAAACCATTGTATGTACTGTGGGAATATATGTGCATTTGCCCATAGTCGTATTGCAGCAAGTACGTTTAGGAAACGGTTGATGTTTTTGAAAACTTTAATTTTCAGAGAAGAATCTTCGAGGTTAGCACCACAACAATACAGCACAAAATCCACAATATATATAGTACTTATACTGTATCTACACCCTCTCATCTCCTTCAAGGCGATCAAAGGCCTTCTAGGGCAATGCTAACAACAAGGAAAGTGTCAAACACACACTGGTCACAAGCAACGATCTAAGCAGGAAAACAGTTATTGTTTTTTTTTGTGCCTACAGAAATGTTATTTGTCTGCAAGTATTTACAAACCCTGCTAGTTTTATTTCCTCAATCTTTGGAGGCCATTAAATAAAATATTAAAAACGTTTGGCTTTCTTAAATACCCACAAAGCTATATGTATATGTGTAGTAATACAATGGATGGTCCATCCCTTTATACCACATACTATCCCATAAATGTATCTGTGGCATTTTGTTGTATATAAAATAGTTTGCTACTTATGTAGACACTGAACTATGCAAATATTCATATACACATATACCCCATAGCTATTTTATAAGTATACAGTCAAATACTTAAATAGAACAACAAAAAAAAGTCTCCATAGGAATCCTTGGTGTGGTGTATACACTGTCCAGGCTTGGTCAAGGACTTTTATATCCAGCAATAATAAGTCGGTTTGTAATATTTTTTTCTCCCATAGTCTTTTGGTCCAAAATGATTACCAGCAGCCACTGGAGCAGCACAAGTAAGGACTTATAGTAATGGGGTTGTTGACCCATCTGTGTGCTGATGGTGACCCTGTACTTTTGGCTGCTGGCTGGAGGCTGATGAGTTTGCTGAGCGCATCTTAGTGTTGGGCAGTTTGTGGTCTTTCTTCCACTTCATCCTCCTGTTCTGGAACCAGATCTTGACCTGACGTTCGGACAGGCATAAGGTGTGTGCTATCTCTATTCTCCGGCGTCTGGTCAGGTAACGGTTAAAGTGGAACTCCTTTTCCAGCTCTAAGACTTGTTGTCTGGTGTAGGCAGTTCGAGACCTTTTGGGTTCCCCTCCAGTGTAATTTGGATTAACTGAGCACACAGAGAGAAAAAAAAGCAATGGGAACATAATCATTAAATAATGACTTTGGCACCATTGTTCAGATTAGAAATTTTTTTTTAAATTTTTTTGAAAAGTTTCTCAGGCCATTGACAATGCACCAAACAACGGAATGCCATAAAATATGGTGATGGGGAACTGGAGGGGGGGGGGGGGGGGGGCAGAGGGGGGGCAAACAGCATCAATGGCGTATGGCCCAGAGTCAATAGCAGGACAATTACATTTATGGGATCTGTAATTACTTTCTAAACAGAGTGACTCCAATAAATCCTCCACAGCTACTGAAAGGATAGCCTTTCCCTTCTCCTTGGCCAGCAGGCAACCCAAGTGATCTCATGCTGCAACCTAGTGATCTTACCTGTGTTGACATGGATCTTCTTCATCCAAGGATAGACCACGGGCTCTTTGCATTTGAGGCCAGCAGCAGCAGCAGCAGCAGTAGCATTTTTCTCAGTATGGATGCTGTCATTGGACACTCCTATAGGCTCACAGTGCTGGGGTGGCTGTCTGAGGACGTGGCTTTGGAGAAGTTGCTGGGACTGGCCATGTCCCTTCCCAGAGAGGCCATCCGGGGTGACCCCGGCGTCATGGTTGGGGGTGAGGTGGCTGTATCCATAGGTGGCTTCTTGATAGGAGCCCGGACCTTGGTAGAGAGCCTCTGGAGGAGCCTCGAAGCCGGGTTCCCTCGGCCGCTCGTAGTATTCAGGAGACTGGTTGTGCAAGTAGTTATTTTGGGCATACTCCTCGCAGGGTGGGAATTTGGGCTCGATGTAGTTGGAGTTTATCAAAAACGAACTCATGGCCATTAATTTGTGGAAGTGCAACAAAAAAATACTAATTTTTCTCGCGTTGTCGTTTTTCTCTTCTCCTCTAAACCCTCCTACTGCCTGTCAAGTGTGCAAAGTTAGCAGGCCACGTGACCGGCCCGGCCAATCCCAGCCCTCCCCTGGACCCCGGATAAGGAAACACAAGGATGATAAATGCTTTGCTAGTCAAGCCTTATATACTTAACTGGAGCTGCTGTAAGATCATCAGACTTAAAATCGCTGCCAGAAATACAGAGGACAGCAATAAAGGGATCAATACTATGCATAGTGCTCTGAACTAGATCCTATAGTCATAAGCAGGACAGACTGAGATCAGTAAAGCTCGCCTCTGACTCATCAGCTGTACCCCTCACACACCTAGGACTATGCCACTCAACTGGAGGAAGCCTCTCTGCAATGTAATACTGTATGTAATCCTATATGTAGTATGTACTTCAATCATCTCTAATCCTGCTACATAACTGACAGCCTGTCGTCTAGACTGCTAATATATGCTCTGCTAGGGTGCCTGCTAGTCTAAAATGACAGTTAATGCATAAGTCTCACCTATAGGAGGACATCCTGTGGTCAGCCAAATAGCCAGGTAGGACAACTGTAATGACATTTATTATAAATGAGTAATATGACCACCACATTGCAAACATGAGTTGCACCCTGTACAAGGATTAACCACACTGCAAAAATGAAAGCTGCACCCTATAGAGGGATTCACTACATTGCAAACATAAAAGCTGCATCATATAGAATGATTCGCCACACTGCACACATAAAAGCTGCACCCCATTGAAGGATTCACCATACTGCTAGCATGAGAACTGCACCATATAGAAGGATTAACCACACTGCAAAAAAATGAAAGCTGCACCCTATAGAAGGATTCACCGCACTGCTAGTATGAGAACTGCACCATATAGAAGGATTAACCACACTGCAAACAAACATGAAAGCTGCACCCTATAGAAGGATTCTCCACACTGCTAACATGAGAACTGCACCCTGTAGAAGGATTAACCACACTGCAAACATAAAAGCTGCACCCTATATAAGGAGTCACCACACTGCACACTTAAAAGCTGCACCCCATTGAAGGATTCCTCATACTGCTAACATGAGAGCTGATCATATAGAAGGATTAACCACACTGCAAAAAATGAAAGCTGCACCCTAGAGAAGGATCCACCATACTGCTAACATGAGAGCTGCACCATATAGAAGGATTAACCACACTGCAAAAAATGAAAGCTGCACCCTATAGGATTCACCACACTGCCAACATGAGCTGCACCCTATAGAAAAATTCACCACTCTGCAAATATGAGACGTGCCCCTTTTAGAAGGATTCACCACACTGCAAACATGAGCTGCACCCTATAGAAAAATTCACCACTCTGCAAATATGAGATGTGCACCTTAATAGAAGGATTCACTACACTGCAAACTTGAGATCTGCATCTTATAAAATGATTCACCACTCTGCAAACATGAGATCTGCACCTTGTAGAAGGATTCACCACACTGCAAATATGAGACCTGCACCTTGTAGAAGGATTCACCACACTGCAAATATGAGAGCTGCACTTTCTAGAAGGATTCACCACACTGCAAATAAGACAGCTGCATTCTATAAAAGGATTCACCACACTGCAAACATGAGAACTGCACCCTTTATAAATATATATTATAGGATTTACCATGGACCCACTGGCAATCACAGCACTTCATACTAACCTATGTAAATCAGCAGGCATAGGGAAGGCAATCCCCATGTGGTATAGTGCAGTTTAGCTTGAGCAGCTGTGTTTCCTTCATAAAGGGGTGTAGGTAGGACTTGGTGTGTGAAGACAGATCAAGCTTGCCTACACACCTCTACAGCTTGCACTCTATTGAGAAACCACCAGCTGACTGAACAGAATCATTGACTATATCGCTTATGTAAATATTAATATTGGCATCACCCAAGTCTGGTAAACAGCCACTCAAGCCACTATGTATGCTGTGTATGTATGATGGTAACTGTCTAATAGCAAAAAAAAAAGAGATTCTGAACATCCAGACTGTAAGATAACAATACAGAATTGCCTAATCCTGTAATAAAGTACAGAATAAGTTATCTGATTCTTTTAGGGCTGGAGGGAAAAGAAGCAAAATCTGGCAGCTAAATTCCACATGTTGCTAAAGACAAAGGCAGACCTACTACGAGGCTATGAATATAGAGACCCTATGTATTAGAGTGTTTTAAACATCTGTAGAAAAATGTGTAGTTATCCTTTAATTTACTCATAACAGTTGATACTATTGTAACTGTAATATTGTCTAGTTGCAATGTTGCGATAGATAGATAGATAGATAGATAGATAGATAGATAGATAGAAAAAAAAAAAAAAAATATATATATATATATATATATATAATGCCAGTGCATACATACATACATTTATATATATGAGAGACAATGTTGCAGTTATGCACTGGCATTATATATGTGTGTGTTACAGGCTTACAAACCAGTTAGCTATAGTGATGTCATGTGCACAGGCTGTTTTTGGTGAGCAATGCTAAGCAGACGAGCCATTGAATCTATCAGAAATACACATTTTACGACTTTCACCACCTAGGTGTATAAATAGACACACTGGCAAAATATACACTCATGCCATAGCTATATTTAGCGTATTTGGGCATCTAGAGAACACAAAAGGAGCCATTTACCTTGTTATATGAAGCATAAACAGAGCAGATGGTGAATTTTCATTCATTTGCATTCTGTACTAGATGGATGGTAAGCGCCAAGAAGATTCCTAAAAATCGCAGTTTTTATGGTGTACACCATTTCTAGAGGAACGCAGAAATAAATGATGTTTGTAATGAATTGCTTTGGAAATCACAGACAATATTTCTGCAAGGTCATGACTTAAAAATTACTTTTTTTTCCCCCCTAAAATATTTTTTGCTAATAAGTTACCTTGTGTCGGATACAACTGAGACATATCAGTGACCAGTTTTTGAAATCGCATCTACCAAATACCTATTAGGGAATAATAGTTGGCTAATGGCTATTGACTCGAAGAAAAAAATGAGTTGTATAATTGAATATAGTGCAACTTAGTAACACCCTAGTGATCAGGTACAGGCTCCAACTTTAACATACTGTGACCAATCATGTATATATGCAGTGTATATGTCTCTATTGTGCAAAGGGACAGCAAATATTTCAAAATGATACATGTTTTAATATAACCTTGTACAGAAGACTATAAACTAATTCCTAATATGCTATAAAATCCAGAGAAGTCCTTCAGTTGAAATGTTGCAGCAAGTTCCATGTTTGTACATAAACCACTGATCAGCTGAGCAGCATATAGTGAGTCTAGCTATCTCATGGCTTGTGGCTATCCTCTGATATCCTTTGTGGTTGGTCTTTTCCAGTACACCTCAGAGATAAGTTTTCCTTTTATGTAGGTGCAATGCCCGCAAGTAACTGTGTTCATCTCCAAAAGCCTGTTCTTCTTTGAGGTTTTGTTATCATGAAGAACTGAGCCAAGACCACCACGCGTTATCTCAGGGCCGACGTTTTAAACATTTTGCTGCAAGATTTATGGTTATCTCACTTTGCCATAAACAACCAAATCAACTGTGTGGAAACCATTTGTGGGTTTTTTTTCTGAAAAAAAAAAAAACACTTTTGTCCAGTACTGGTAAAAAAAAAACACTTTGTCCAGTACTGGTAGGTATGTTTTCTTAGAAACTCCCTTTTTTTCTGGGCTGAACAATATAAAAAAAAAAAAAAAAAAAAAAGTACTTTAATGCTAATGTCAGTAGTATCAGTTTTTATTTCATTGCATTTGTTGTATTAAAAAAAAAAATACATCCTCGTGTAATATTATTTTATGTTATTTTAATTTTTTATATTATTTTATTTGTTTGAGATTTTTTTGTTTTTTTTAAACACTAACAAATAATTGTAAAAAAAAACACATGCAAAAAATATTATCTTTAAAGGTTTTTTTTACATCTTTTTGTCTTCATTTTTTTTTTCTAACAGCAACCTAGTGTTTGCTTCGAAGTGACCGTAGTGTGACACTGTGCGCATTTTGTTTCGTATTAATCTTCCTCATTGACAGTCTTTGTTAAATAAGGAGGCTTGCAGTTCACCAGGCGACATTTTCATATTTGTTAGACTTGGTGACCTGAGGTTCACCTCGGCCTTGGACTTAGCTTTTCTAAAAGGTCCAGCAAGTGTCTTTAAGGCAGCAGGGAGTTTCTGCCAGGTCACTTCTTCTGACAGAAAATGAAGAATAAATAACGGAAAAGTACACATTACAGAGGTTATGAAATGCATCACTCTTGTTGATTGTGAATCTGAGGAAGCTCAGTGACCTCAGCCCAATGAAAAGCTGATGGTAGGGGGCTCTAGAAAATAGCACCAATCTTATGTTGCTTGCTGCATAATTGTGCTATACCTCCTATAAAAGTGGCAACTACGTTTCTAAATTTTAAAAAAAATCAACGAAAATAGACAATTTACCCTGAAACAGTAAAAAAAAAAAAAAAAAAAAATCAAGTCGGTTGTAGAGATCTGGAAGCATTTAATTTGTGATTAATGAATGTGCAGGAAGTTGATAGGGAATGAGGTTAGGTATATAAGAGGAAAAAAAAAA